TGCTGTGGTTGCAGAGCAGCGGGGGAGCCCACAGCGCTCAATCATGTTCACCTGTGTGTACAGAAAGCGAAAATAAAGGTCTGTATATATGTAACCGCAGCATTAACATCTGGTTTGTTTCCTGGCTTTGGCATTACATCACCCTTATGAATGGAATTCGATATAAAGCACTCTTGGCACATGTGGCTGTCCTGAGCAGTCAAAGTGCCCTCAGAGACCTCGGCTGAGCATGAACGCAGCTTATAGGGGGAAGCGAGTCCACTGAGAAGGTGGGGTTGTGTCATGTGACCAGATCCGGCTGCAGGCTGAGTGCAGAGTAAACATCCTACAAAATGAGGACACTGATGGCTTGTAGCTTTTCATGGTGCATTTTGCAGCCTCAACGTGATCGATATTTTCTGAAGGGTGGTATATCAGTCATGATGTTTGGCCTGTTACTTAAGGCCTGCCTAATGTCTGATTTAAACAGCTTTTTGTCACTGGGGGGGTAAGGGGGAAAAGGCTCAGTGACATGTCACTCCATCCTGACACAGAACCAGTTTGAGCAGGAATTTCTCACTGAGATCAGAGCTCCTCTCACACCATGGGTGAATCGGCTGCCTTTCAACATTTTTTTTGCCCTGGTCTGTTCAGTAATGATGTGGCCCCTATAGCGAGAACATGAAGGTATGTGAAACATGCAGCTTTAGCTCTGCTTGAGCTCCGATCTTGCGATGATCTGTGTTCCTCTTACCTTCCAGTAAGTCGCTGGCTCTCCCTGCTGTGCCATGGGTCTTTGTGGTCGATAATGGAGAGGAATCTTTTTTATGTTTTGTGTGTGTGTGTGTGTGTGTGTGTGTGTGTGTGTGTGTGTGTGTGTGTGTGTGTGTGTGTGTTGTCAAGAGGTATGCTGTTACTGAATCAGCCCTAGGCATGATCTCCCCCTGTGAGCTGTGATGGATGGGTTTCTGTGGGCCGTGTCATCTTCCACCTCTGCATGTTCAGTGGGCTATACCCACTAGGGTGCATCAAACCCCCATTGATTTTCAAAATGTTTTTGGCTGTATAATAAATATGTTCTACCGGATGAATAAATTATTTGGGCAAAATTTCGTTAATTTTGATTAACATCTACCGGGTCCACATCTAGATTGAAAATATGAAAAATAATGATAAACGCAAGAAAAACGAAGGTACTTCAGAA